TCTCCTCTCATGCTCTCTCTCTCTCAAATAAATAAATAAAATCATTAAAAAATATATATATATTTTTATTAGGGGCGCCTGGGTGGCTCAGTGGGTTAAGCCTCTGCCTTCGGCTCAGGTCATGATCCCAGGGTTCTGGGATCGAGCCCCACATCGGGCTCTCTGCTCAGCAGTGAGCCTGCTTCCTCCTCTCTCTCTGCCTACTTGTGATCTCTGTCTTTCAAATAAATAAATCTTTAAAAAAAATATTTTTATTAGGGGCTCCTGGGTGGCTCAGTCATTAAGCGTCTGTCTTTGGCTCAGATCATGATCCCAGGATCCTGAGATCCAGTCCCCCGTCGGGCTCCCTGTTCAGCGGGGAGCCAGCTTGCTACTCCCCCGCTTGTGTATGCGCGTGCACGCTCTTCCTGCCAAAATCTTTAAAGAAAAATGCTTTGAGGAAACTCCCCACTGGTTTCCGTACTGGCTGCCCCAGTTTACAGTCCCACCAGCAGCGCACAAGCTTCCCTTTCCTCCACATCCGCTCCAACGTTTTGCCAGTTTGATGCCCCCTCAGTCCTGAGGGGCATCTCCGGGTGATTTTGGTTTGCATTTTCCTGATGTTTAGTGATGTTGAGCGTCTTTTCATGCACAGGTGTCTCCTGCTCTCCAAAAGTAGACGGTTCCTGTGGGGGGAAAATAGTAACATGAAAAGGACCTTATAACAGCAACAATGACAAAAAAGAAAACTCTTTGGGATTAACTAGAAATATGCCAGATTTCTAGGAAGGCAATTATAAAACTTCCCTGAGGGCCTTGAAGAATGGCCAGAATCCATGAGAGGCAGAGCGCGGTCCTGACTGGGACAGCTTAGAGATGTCGGTCCTTCCCAGACTAGTATGCACAGTCAGTGCAGGAGCCGTAGGAAATGTGCATGAATTTTAAAAAAATCTTTTGTAACCAAAACAAAAAGAAGCCATTTCCAGTCATTTCTATGGAAAATTTTTGACTGTTCCCAGACCCCAAAAATGACCTTTCTTAGGCTTTTTTGCTACCTGGGCCACATTCTGCTAGTGGAGGCGCAGAGTCGGCTGGGATAGAGCAGGGGTGCGCCCACGCGGCTGCGAGCTCTAGCGGCTCCAGCGCGGAGAGGCCACGTAGAGCTCCGAGGGCCCGGCCGTCTGCCGCTCGGGGTGCCCGCGGCGTCCGCAGCAGCTCGCGGCAAAACCAGTGCTAAATGCGATTTGCACTTTTCACCTATTTGCATAAAGGTGAAAATCCTCTTTGGATTTCTTCTGGTTAGCAAACGCCAGTACAGATGTAGGTTTTTGTCAAAATGAAGTGAGTAATGCCAGCTTTTCAAAAAGCAGATGAGACCGGGGCACCTGGGTGGCTCAGTGGGTTAAAGCCTCTGCCTTCGGCTCAGGTCATGATCCCAGGGTCCTGGGATCGATTCCCACATGGGGCTCTCTGCTCAGCAGGGAGTCTGCTTCCTCCTCTCTCTCTGCCTGCCTCTCTGCCTACCTGTGATCTCTTTCAAATAAATAAAATCTTTAAAAAGGAAAAAAAGGTGAGACCTGTAACTGTGGGCTCTTTGATTACAGGTAAACCTCCCTTTACAGGGCGCTGTGGTTTGTTTACACGTTGAAGGTCTGTAGCAACCCTGCGTCAAGTCCGTCAGCACCGTTTCTCCAGCAGCATTTGCTCGCTTCATTTCACATTCTGTGTCACATTTTGGTAGCTCTCACAGTATTTCAAACTTTTTCCTTGTGTTTGTTGTAACCCGTGACTATGCCTTGTTCCTGGTCTACACAGGAAAGGATTTGATCCGATTTTAGAACGTTAAACCAACCATTCTTGAACCAGTCACTCCTTCATGATTTAGTGTCCTTTTATACATCGTCGGATTAAGTTGGCAGAGTGATGTGACTGTGACCCTGAGGGATATGGATCTGTCATTGTCTTTTCTTGTAATGCCTGGGCCTGATTTTTGGGGTCAGGGTAATGCTAGCCTGATAAAATACACTGGGAAGTAGTCACTCTTACTCTTCTGGAAGAGTCTGTGTGTCATTAGTATTATTTCTTCCTTAAATGTTTGGTCAATTTTATGCAAGAAGCCATGTGGGATCTGACTTTTCTTTGTGCAAAGTTCCAAGATATGAATTGATACAGGGCTGTTCAGATTATACCTTCTTGGATAAGCCTTGTTTTCTCTTTCAAGAAATTTACCCAATTCATTTTAGTTTAATGGCATAAATTTTTTTTTTAAGATTCTATTTGTCGGAGCACAAGCAGGGGGAGAAGCAGGCTCTCCTGCTGAGCAGAGAGCCTGATGCAGGACTTGATCCCAGAACCCTGGGATCCTGACATGAGCCGAAGGCAGACACTTAACTGACTAAGCCACCCAGACATCCCTGGCATAAAGTTTGTAATATTCTTACTTTTTTTTTTTTTTAAGATTTTATTTATTTATTTGACAGAGATCATAAGTAGGCAGAGAGGGAAGCAGGGGCGGGGAGGGGCGGGAAGCAGGCTCCCCACTGAGCAGAGAGCCCAATGCAGGGCTCGTTCCCAGGACCCCAGGATCATGACCTGAGCCAAAGGAAGAGACTTAACCCACTGAGCCAACCAGGCACCCCTTCTCTTACCTTTTTAATATCTGTAGAATCTGTGTACAAATACCTGACAGCCTGCTTTCATTTTATTTTGGTATTACTTTTCCGCCTTTTGGCTAAGATCAAGTGGACAAGTGGAATTGTTAGATAATGTGTTTTTTTTATGTTTCAATTTATTCAAATTCTGGTTAGTTAACGTATAAGGTAATACTGATTTCAGATATATGTATGTGATGAATCACTAAGCTCTATAACATCCTATGCTTATCACAAGTGCCCTCCTTAATTACCCACCACCTGCCCACCTCCCTCCATCAACCCAGTTTGTTCTCCGTAGTTAAGAGTTTCTTATAGTTTGCCTCCCTCTTTCTCCCTTCCCCTGTGTTCATCTGTTTTGTTTTTTAAATTACACACAAGTGAAATCATACTGTATTTTACTTTCTCTGACTTCACCTAGCATAATACAATCTAGCTCCATCCACATTGTTGCAAATGGCAAGATCTCAATCTTTTTCATGGCTGAGTAATACTCCATTGTGTGTGAGAGCTATATTATATAGATAAATCCATATATTATGTATAATTATATATTACATACATATAATCACATTATGTATATAGTTATATATATTATATATATAATCATCTTTATCCATTCATCAGTTGATAGACATCTGGGCTCTTTCCGTAATTTGGGCATTATTGATAACGCTACTATAAACATTGGGACGTACGTGCCCCTTTGAATCACTATTTTTGCATCCTTTGGGTAGATATCTAATAGTGCAATTGCTGGATCATTTAACTTTTGGGGAAACTCCATATGGTTTTCCAGAGCGGCTGCGGCAGTTTGCGTTCCCATCGGGAGCATAAGAGGGTTCCTCTTTCTCCGCACCATCCTTGCCAACATCCGTCGTTTTCCGAGTTGTTAAACTTAGCCGTTCTGACAGCTCTGAGGTGGCATCTCCTGTAACTTCTGATTTGTAGTTCCTTGATGAGTGATGTTGAGTGTCCATTCACGTCTTCTGCCCATTTTGTAACTGGATTGTTTTTTGGATATTGAGTTTGAGAAGTTCCCTCCAGATTTTGGACACTAGCCCTTTATCAGGTCGGTCATTTGCAGATATCTTCTCCCACGCTGTAGGCTGCCGCTTAGTTTTGTTGATCGCTTGCTTCGCTGCGCAGAAGCTTTATCCTGATGAAGGCCCAGTAGTCATTTTTGCTTTTGTTTCTGCTTCTGGAGACGGGTCTAGTAAGAAGTTGCTATGTCCAAGGTCACAGAGGTTGCTGCCTGCGTTCTCTAGGATTCTGACAGATTACTGTCTCACATTTAAGTCTCTCATTCATTCATTATCTATTTATTTAAAAGATTTTATTTATTTACTTGACACAGAGAGATCACAAGTAGACAGAGGCAGGCGGGGCAGGGGGGAAGCAGGCTCCCCACCGAGCAGGGAGCCAGACGTGGGGCTCGATCCCAGCATCCTGAGATCATGACCTGAGCCGAAGGCAGAGGCTTTAACCCAGTGAGCCACCCAGTGGCCCCTCCTCCCATTTTAAATGTGGTTTTTTCCCCCTACTGGACAGTTCCTTGTTCGCTGTAGATCTTTATTTTTCAGTCAGCCTCGAGTATTTTTTAATGTTTCCTCTCAGGAACGAGGGCTTGGAGCTTCTCAGTTCACCACCTTGCTCATGTCACTCTCTCTGTCCCTAATTCTTTTTCTCTCTCTATCCTCTCAGGAGGCAGGAATCCAAATGAGGTGGAAACTCTTCGCGAAGCAGGAATCAGGTGCCTGTCACTGGGAGAGCTTTCATGTTGGCAAATCAAGAGACATGTTGTAAGCAAATTAACCAAAAACCAAGACTCTGGGATAAATATTCACGGAAAGAGTGCTCCGTTCTTCGACCAGTGTGACTCCCCCTGCCAGAGGGGAGCCGGGATATGCATTCAGGCTTCGGTGGAGGACAGCTGCTTTATGAACCTTCTGGAGGATCATTCTAAGATCCTTGAAAACCAAGAATTTCTGGCCGGGAGAGTTCAGAATCCTTGGAGTAAAATCTATCTCAGCGAAACACAGAATTACCAGCGAAGTTGTAAGCAGGCTCAGATGAAAAACCAACTATGTATATTTGCTCCGTATGTTAACCTTTTCAGCTGTATTTCACGCCACGATGACGACACCGTGCACAGGAGGGACAGAGCTCACAACGGTGACTGCGGGAAGGTGTCCCCTCTTCTCCAGCAGACCTACCACTGCAGTGACTGCGAGAAGGCATTCGGCGATGGCCACAGTCTTGAACTTCACCAGCAGGTGCACTCGGGAAAGAAGTCCCCCGCTTACGGCGCACATGACAAGGGCAGCAGTTACAGCGCGGCTGTTCCCATTCAGCAAAGTGTCTATACAGGAAAGAAACGCTATTGGTGTCACGAGTGTGGGAAGGGTTTCAGCCAGAGCTCAAACCTGCAGACTCACCAGCGGGTCCACACAGGGGAGAAGCCCTATTCGTGCCTTGAGTGCGGTAAGAGCTTTAACCAGACCTCGCATCTTTATGCGCATTTGCCTATCCACACCGGAGAGAAACCCTACCGCTGTGAGAGCTGCGGGAAGGGCTTCAGTCGGAGCACAGACCTGAATATTCACTGCAGGGTTCACACGGGAGAGAAACCCTACAAGTGCGAGGTGTGTGGGAAGGGCTTCACTCAGAGGTCGCACCTGCAGGCCCACGAGAGGATCCACACCGGAGAGAAACCGTACAAATGTGGAGACTGCGGGAAGCGCTTCAGTTGTAGCTCCAATCTTCATACCCATCAGAGGGTCCACACGGAGGAGAAACCGTACAAGTGCGAGGAGTGTGGCAAGTGCTTCAGTTTGAGCTTTAATCTCCACAGCCATCAGCGAGTCCACACCGGAGAGAAGCCATATAAGTGCGAAGAGTGTGGGAAAGGCTTCAGTTCGGCCTCCAGTTTCCAGAGCCATCAGAGGGTTCACACAGGAGAGAAACCGTTTCGATGCAACGTGTGTGGCAAGGGCTTCAGCCAAAGTTCGTATTTTCAAGCTCACCAGAGGGTCCACACGGGAGAAAAACCATACAAATGTGACGTGTGTGGGAAGCGCTTCAACTGGAGCTTGAATCTCCACAACCATCAGAGGGTCCACACGGGAGAGAAGCCGTATAAATGTGAGGAGTGCGGGAAGGGCTTCAGTCAGGCCTCAAATCTGCAAGCTCATCAGAGTGTCCACACAGGGGAGAAGCCATTCAAGTGTGAAGCGTGTCAGAAGCGATTCAGTCAGGCCTCCCATCTTCAAGCGCATCAGAGAGTCCACACCGGAGAGAAACCGTATAAATGTGACACATGTGGTAAGGCCTTCAGCCAGAGGTCAAATCTTCAAGTCCATCAGATCATCCACACGGGAGAGAAACCATTTAAATGTGAGGAGTGTGGGAAAGAATTCAGTTGGAGCGCTGGGCTCAGTGCTCATCAGAGAGTGCACACGGGAGAGAAACCCTATACATGTCAGCAGTGCGGTAAAGGCTTCAGTCAGGCCTCGCATTTTCACACCCATCAGAGGGTCCACACCGGGGAAAGGCCATATATATGTGATGTCTGTTGCAAAGGCTTCAGTCAGAGATCCCATCTTGTGTATCACCAGAGAGTCCACACTGGAGGAAACCTATAGACGGGTTAGGGGTGGCGTAGCCTTCAGTTAGAATTCACATCCTCCTCTCCGCTGGAAACTCCATGCTGGGAATTGCGGAAAGTTCCTTCGGAACTCAGAAACATCAAGGAATCTTCACATGCCAGTAAGCTCTGTACAGTGCTATTTTAAGGACTCGGTTTGGAGAGAAATTCTTTACAAACATCAGATTTCACAGATAAGAGAAAACCTTATAAATACACTCAGTGCTTATATGAGAATTCTGAATGTCCCAATTTTCAGGATGCAACATAAAAGAATTTCAAAATTCATCCAAGTCTACCCAGGAAAGAAGCCTTATAAATGAAAACTAGGGGCGGAACTTGAACAAAAGTATCGTGATGGGCAAAATGAATGGCAAAAGCAATGTATCCGCCGCGTCGGGAGCGATGTTTTTCACTGCTTTATCTCTACCGTGTAGACGTGCGCTTGGCTCATGGTAGATGCCCAGCACTTACTGAACAAAGTGGAGAAAATCTATAATTAGGACAAGGATCGGGAACTCATACTCCCCTGCGTGGATTTCATAATAATATACTCAAAAGGAATCTTGCAAGTAGCCTTAATGAGATTTCTTTCAGGAAACGTTCAGGTACAGAAAGTCACGTCATGCCGCCCGCCACAGTACTGCAGATTTGGATGGAATGTGTGAATGGCCCCATCCTCCATCCGGCCCTGGTTCTTTGTAGTATGTCAGCCCTGTGTACAGCATAATATTTAGTATCATTAGGCTTTATAGACTGAAAAATACTGTTTTTAACTAGTAACACAGTACTACAATTTATATGCTTGGAAATTTTGGACTGTAATTCATTAAGGTAGGATTTCACTGTAACTCTCGAGAGTGTTAAAAGTAGACTAATGACAAGTTCTTTAGTAAACTGGAATTGTTAGCAAGTGGTGTCTTCTCGTTGTTTCCCTTCGCGCTTAGGTCAGATTGCCTTCTCGATGCACAATCCTTCATCCAGACCACTGTAGGCAGCGCCTTTGGTAGATTTCAAGGTCCTTTTGTCACACTTCCATTCCCCACCCCACCCCCCGCACCCTCCCCCAAGGGTAGAACAAGAAACATTGAGTTTTTATTGAAATTTCATTAAATAACAATTTAGATGGATTACCGTTAACACAGCATTCTGTGTTCAACACCTCTTGTCAAGAGTGGACATAAGCTGGTCAGTATATACTGAAATGCCCTTTGACCTGGCAGTCCTAGCACTGAACACTTTCCCTTTCAGGTTCTCCTCTCCCTATCTTGTGATTTATAAAAATTGGTAAGGGAATTAAATCCAGATAAAACTCTAGTTCCAAAAGCACCCTAATATGTTTTTATTAGTATTGATTCTTTGATTTAGATCTATGGTTAGACATGTTTATTACTTTTTTATTTATCTTAGAAATATACAATTAGTACTTTTTTCATGAAATTAATCTTTAATGACTTAAATTCTTTTGGGTAGACAGGTCACAGGAATGGGGAGGTTTAATGCATGGTGGAAATTGGATAAATGTACAAAAGTTGGATGGCTTGTAAATGGTTATTTAATTCTTGGTATTTTTCTTTATATTTGAAATGTGCCAAATATAAAATTTATATATAATTTTTTAGAAGACTTTATTTGAGAGAGAGAGCATGAGGGGAGGTCAGAGGGAGAAGCTGGGAGCCCGATATGGAGCTTGATCCCAGGACTCTGAGATCATGACCTGAGCCGAAGGCAGGCGTTTAACCAACTGAGCCACCCCAGGCACCCCTGTATTTTTTTTATGTAAATGAAAAGAGAGCTAGTGGGTATAGACTCTTAGGTTCGGAGAAAGTTTCCCAACTCTGCAGTTGATACAGTTGCTCTGAGGCTTGGACAGTTTACTGGGAAAAAATTCTACCTGTAATTGAGGCTTTCTTAATAATTATTAAGAAAGTTCAATGAAGAAAGTTGTCCCCCCACCAAGGGCACTAACTCTTCCAAATGGTCTCCTGTTTTCCCTCATGCTCCTTGCACTAATGACCAGGTTTGGACATATGGTGTATATCCATTGTCCATTTTCCTTTCCAAACGACTATCTCCCTCTCCCCCCATTAAGGAGCACAAACTACCCACTATTCCTTCACGCAGCCACCTGCCAATCCCTTTATTCTTTCTTGCTCCTTGATTTTATCTCCAGAACCAGTCTTGCTACCCTGTCACTACTCTTTTCAGACTACTTGCAGATTATTGTATCCATTCCCAAAACCCTGGCCTCTCAGTTCCTTGATTACTCTGCCTCCGGTGGTCTTGTTTTCCACGGCACCTCAGCCCTTGGCTCCAAAGGTAACATCTTGCCAGCGAGAAAATAAATGAGGCGTGTGACCATGTGACGTAATGAGCACTGGGCATTATGTGCAACTATGAGTAACTGAACCGTACATCTGAAACTAATGATACACTGTGTTAATATAACTGAATCGAAATAAGGTAAATGGAAATCCCTCTGTAATCTTAGATTCAAACATTCCATTCCAATCACCAGCTCCTGTTGTACCAGCTTACACCCTCTTCATTCTCATTTTAATAACTCTTAAAATTCACAGGGACCAAAACCCCATTACTCCTACTCCCTTTTCACTCTTTATTTCCTTCATTCCCTGTGTATCTGGAAAGAACAGACTTCCGTTTACATCCCAGTGCCCCAAACGGTCTCATGTCAACCTCTAACACAGGAAGAGATACTTCAAGAGTGTTCACGTCACCCAATCTGTAGAAGAGGCAGAGAAGAGCAAACTGGGTTAGGAATATACGCAAGAGGAAGCTGTCTACAGTACGTGGTTCAGATAGACGTGACTTAAGTGTATCTGACGCTACCTCCAACCCCAACTTTTATCTCTCATTTAAGAATACTGCAATTCTCAGGAAAAGGCTATTACAGTAATAATGCCAATACTCAGCATTTTTTAAAAAAGTTTCAGACTTTTGAGATTGATCAATTGCTAGAATAAGGTATCTGTGCAGCATTTCATGAGTTGTCATGATCTAGCTGGAAAACACAGCTTCAGAGTGCACTGGTCAATCGTGTAAATAGACGCAAACAAGTAACCGAAAGTAACCGTATATGAATTATACGACAACGCTAGAAGCATCTTCAGTGTGCTGACCAAGTAGTTCCTGTTGCACCAGAGCTCCAGCAGATAACAAGTATTATAAGTTCTAGACCAAATACTAAAACTATCCAAAGGCACTGGAGAATGAACAGAAGAGGCAGATCCTGGAGATGGGTCAACACTCAGAAGAAGGAAATAAAATAAGTCCGTTTCCTACGTTTTATGGCTTTTACCCTGAAAGCAAGTCCAGTCTGCACTATTTTAGGGCAGCTAAAACATACGTGGAAAACTAAGTTTTCCAACAAAAGGGTTCAAGGCCTATACAACTGCTGTTGGAAAGTATGGTGGGTAGTATACCCTGGAAGAGGGCCAGGGAAAGGAAGCTCCAAATTCTGTGTCTAAGCATTTCCCAAATGTGTGGCTCTCTCCTCAGCTATAAAGGACAAAGAATACTTAAAGGAGCCAAACCAATACTAACAAGTGAATTAAAATTTGAGCTGCCACCTACAGGAAAGAGAAAATCTTTGGTTGAGCCCAGCTAAATTAAATGCCTAATAAAAATATTTTTTCAAGATTTTATTTATTTGACAGAGAGACACAGCGAGAGAAGGAACACAAGCAGGAGGAGTGGAAGAGGGAGAAGCAGGCCTCCCACTGAGCAGGGAGCCCGATGCAGGGCTTGATCCCAGGACCCTGAGATCATGATCCCAGCTGAAGGCAGACACTTAATGACTGAGCCACCCGGGCGCCCCTAATAAAAATATTTTAAAAAATACTCCGAGGGAAATCAGAGTGGGAGACAAACCATGAGACTGTGGACTCTGAGAAACAAACTGAGGGTTTTAGAGGGGAGGGCAGTGGGGGAAGGGTGAGGCTGGTGGTGGGTATTAAGGAGGGCACGTATTACATGGAGCACTGGGTGTGGTGCATAAACAATGAATCTTGGAACACTAAAAAATAAAATTAAAAAATGCTCTAGAGGAACATAATGAAATCCAGTTTCCTCAGTGTATTAATTACAATGCCTAGGATGTAATTTAAGATTACTAGATATTTGGGAAAACAAAAACTGGAAAACATGACTTGTTCTCAAGGGAAAACAGATCAACAGAGATCAATGCCAAGATGATCCAGATGTGGGAATCAGACGTTTTTTAAAGATTTTATTTATTTAACAGACATATCACAAGTAGGCAGAGAGGCAGGTAGGGGTGGGGGGAAGCAGGCTCCTTGCTGAGCAGGGAGCCCAATGCGGGGCTCGATCCCATGACTCCGAGATCATGACCTGAGCCGAAGGCAGAGGCTTAACCCACTGAGCCACCCAGGTGCCCCCAGACAACGATTTTTTAAAAGCTATTATAAACTATGCTTAAAATGTAAAGAAAAATGTCCTTATCATGAAGGAAAAAATAAGAAACCTTAGCTAAGAAATAGCAACTATCAAAACATTACCAAACAGAAGTTCTAGGGGGTTGACAGTGGAGTGGAAGGACTCTAAGCTCACCTCATCCCACAGACACACCTAGGTAACACCCACATCAGTATAAATATCCCCAGAAAATGACCCAAAGACGAGCAGAGCAGACTCTCCAGAGCTACATATAAAGAAGAGGACACATCAAAGAAGGTAGGAAGGGAAGAGACACAGAAGCTAAACGGACCCGTGAAACAGTCTGTGGGGTGGTGGGTGGAGAAAGAACACACCACGGATGCAGAGAGCGAAAACCAGACCCCAATCGAGGCACCCAGGCTTGGGGGACCCACACAGAGAAGAAAAATCTCCATAAAAATTGGCTTTGAAAACCAGAATAGCCAAATTTCATGAGTTTTTATCAGTGGAGCTGAACAACTGGAACTTTAAAATCAGCAGGTGGCTCTGGAAGAGTTTGAAGGGCAGCAGGAAACGGAGTCCTCGCTCTTAAAGAGCGCAACAAACAGCCCTACGGAGATACAGCACAGAAGCATCAGTATGAGAAATGCCACGCCTTCTCCTGTGGACCTGCCCTGGCCTAAGCCAGAATTTTGGGTGGCCGCAAGACCTCTCCTTAGCTGACCCATGCTGGTGTCATGCACCCTGTCCCGTATCCCGAAGACCTGCCCCTCCAGTATGCCCTTGGCCAGATCCTATCTAAAGCAGTGCCACAAGGAGCTGTGGGTGTTCAGACATCCCTAACAAAAGCCACCACCACTCCGAAGTGACTCCTGCCCAAGGGAAAGCAGAAGACGACCACACACACAAGTGAAAATGCGGCCCCAGCAGTGGGTCTGGGGGCAGACGTTGTGTCTGACTACAGGCCCTAACCACCAATGAAAGCTTCTCCAGGACAACACAGGGAGAGTGCCCTGCAGTTCCGTGCTACAGCAGCTCTGGAAAATGCCTGGTCTGACTCAGTTTAAGCCCAAGGCGGCCCAAACCAACCCACTAACACCACTTCCCTCAACAGGCAGAGAGAACCACTGCAGATGCCTGAAGGCAAAGCAGCTCAGCCACAGGAACAAAGTATCTCCTGCATATAACACACACAGGAGATACTATAAAGTTCCAGGTCCTGGTGAACAGGTGACATTGCACTGTAGGGCACTGTGTTCTCTCTTCTTCATGAGGCCACTACTTTTAAGAGCAGGAAACATAACTGACTTTCCTAACACAAAGAAATAGACACAGAATTAGACAAAATGAGGAGACACAGGAATATGTCCCAAGTGAAAGACAAAATCAAAGAAAGAGAGCTAAACAAAACAGAGATAAGTAATACACATGTTAGAGAATTAAAGTAGTGGTCATAAAGATA